CACACACACACACACACACACACACACACACACACACACACACACACACACACACACACACCGCAGAGGGGCCTTGGAGAGAGGAAGGCCTGGATTAGTCCCTGGGTGTGATTTGCTCTACACTTGGTTGCAGCTCAATTATTCCAGACAATTAGACTGGAGTCTGCCTCTACAGACCACCCGACTCGCTGCTGACCTTGTGCCAGCAGGCAGCCCCTGTAGCTCGCGCACAGACACTCACACACGCTGAAAATAACCCTGACTCCTGACCTTCTCTGAATTTTGTCAGAATTAAAGCGTTTGTGCCCTCATCAACTTTCCCTGCAGCCTTGAAGGGTTTTGCCGTTGCTGTTGTTGATTGTGGTGGATTACTGTGACTGTTTGGAGAAGCTTACCTTCCGGCGCTCACATAATCTTTTCTGTGCTGTAGCAGAAAGTCTTTGAGCTTGGTGATGTTCGTGATCTGCCAAGATAAAGTGAGAAGTAGCATTACTCGACCCCATCACCGTCATGTCAACAAGTCTTTAAATACGCAGTTGCACCTTCAAATATGTTAATTTTGGTCAACATTGTTTTTTTTTTGTTTTTTTTCCCAGACATGTATGAGGAAACTATTTTCTCCCAGCTACATTCCAACAGAGCCAGAGTAAATGCATAATTTTACATTTATTGGAAGTGACAGGAAACCAGTGTCCTTCTATCTCTGTGAATTCTCAATATTTACTTATGACAATTCATCAACTCCAGGACATACAAAAATCAAACCAGCAATTTGCCCGTCAAACAGCTCTCATAAATAAAACCAAGGGCTTACAGAGCATACAGAGCACTGACAGAGCCATTTCCAATAAGCTTTAAATTTATGATCTGTTGCTATTTATCACAGAGAGAAAGTCCAGGAGTGTGTGTGTGTGCAAAGGGAAACCAGAGGAAACTTGGTTCAATCCAATATTTGCTCGTGTAATTCAGTCAAATATTAAAAAAGACCAAATTGCTTCCCTGTCCACAGACTTCTGCTGGCAGGCTACAAGAGGGTGTGAAAGCACACACAGCAGGCTCTGTTGGATCCACAAGAAGACAGAACTGAGACAGGCGCAGGACTGAAAAATGACACAATGAGTTTGACTGTGACAGCGAGCACAGAGCGTGGGGGATTATTTTGATAGCATAACGACGCTGTCTTCAGCCTTCACTTTTTCACCCTAACAGCCTCAATTATCAAATTGCTTTGGCTGTAAAGAGTAACCTGGCACCAGTCGTCTAATAATGTCTCTAAACATTCATTCCTAGCGTCACAGTGACTTAAAGCGGTGTTTTATTTGAGCTGACGTTTGAAAAATGACTCGTTTGTCAGGGCATAAAGAAGGTGTTGTGATAAACAGAGCCGAGCAATTTGTTAGAAACCCAGAAGTCCTTCTCTGGTTTAGAGGGTGACGTACGACACTGCTGTGGGGGGCATGCTAACGCAGGCAAGGACAAGGCAGGCTGACCCCCGCTAATAATACAATTATTTGTGAGGTCAGGAGTTAATTGATGTTCAGTGCAGTTGAGCTTGGAGGGTTCAGGGAGAACAGAACCGTACTTATAGTTTAAAGTCATTCAGATCAGCATTAGTTACTAGTTTAGAGCCTATTCAAAACATGCCTGTTTGAAATTGGCTCTAGTAAATCTCTAGTTTTACTGTTGCAGCATTCTCAATCAATCACTGACCAACCATAATTATGACTGTACACACTTAAAGTCTAGAAAATATCGCATGGGAGCAGACGGCAATAATGTTTGGGTGAGCATCATCGTGACATCATGTGACATTTTATGATGCAACTCATTCAGTATTATATCTGTAATCAAACTTTAAAGTTACATCATAAATGTATATTATTTTAATATATTCTTCATTTGACATGATTATAATGTCTAAATATGACATCTAAAAATGTTTTTAATATTATTACAACCACTCTTGTTCGGTAAATTTGACAGTATCTTGACTACCAAACAAAAGACCTATGATTAAAACACAGGTGTTTGTCAGTTATCACAATAATAACAGACCTTTTTTCAGATGCCTGATCAGAATAATATTGAAGCACAACTTCAAAAGGACTCCTGTGACACTGTTATATTAATCTGCATATGTAACAGTCGGCGCTTCCCTTAACTGACAAATCAGTGCTTTCACTTGACTTAAAATCCTTAACACATTCTGAATTCACCTCATCTTTGGAGCTAACGCAGTTAATATGACCACTGTTAAAACAAATACAAAAAATACAATATAAAATGGCCCACGACCATGTTAAGACGATGCATGGAGAGGAAAAAGGTAAAAATCCCTTTTTAGGCAACTACTACAAACAGAATACACTCAGTACCTTGACAGTTGTAGTATATAATGCTTAAGTGAGGACAGGATGATGTCTTGTTAATAGCTGCACTGGCATAATAAGCCATTTGCAATGCACCACACTGTTGACCGTGTTTCTGAAACATTCCCACACTGTAGAGGTTCATGAGCAATCCTTCCAGCTTGCTGTTTGGAGGGTATTAATTGGACACAGCCATCTTTGCAACACAGTCTTATTGCAACCATTTAGATGAATTATATTAATGACATGAAGTAGTACGTAGAGTCACGGACTGCTCTTTGAAGTTAATCAAACACATGCAAAGAATCCTTCATATAATTAAAATCTGGCATGTCAGTGAATAAGACTGGTTATCATTGTAACAACCTTTATAAGTTTTTTATAGCTTTGAACTGCAAACAAGCTTGGAAACAACATCTTACAGCAAAAATTGGACTGTTTGGTTTTTGTTTTTTAATCAAAAGTTGCTTTGTGTTGTTGCTGTAACATTTCAACTCGTTCGTTGTGGTTTAGAGTCTTTTGGTATGATTTTGTGAGGAACAAATAAAGTGAAATGTTATGTCTAAGTTCCTAAATGAAACACAGAGATATTTATGTAATCTAGACTTGAAATTAGAAAATATAAACCCCTCCACACCAAGAACGATTTGGCTTGTCTTTACTATAAACTGTTTCCTGCTTGCAATTAACACTCGGTTTCAGCTTTGTACAAAGTTTATCTGACTACAAACCTCTACTCGTGGTACTACACCTTTTTCACCAGCAGGCAGTGCTAAGCCCAAAGCACTGGAACACAGTGGAAGGTCTGTGTGTGTGTCTGTTGTGGGGGTGCTGGGGAGTGTCAAAGACTGCTGCTCTGGGGGTTGAGCTGCCTCCTGTGTGTATACATTGGAGCTTGGATTCCCAGCACAACCTCAAGGGTTTGCAGGGGGTCAGAGGGATCAATTGCTCTTGTAACGTAAGACCTTAAAGAGCAAGTAATTCCTGAACAATGAGGAAGGGGGTGGCCTTGTGCATGTGGCTCACCACATATGTGTATGCATAGGTACGCGTGAGCGTGTGTGTGAGTGTAACGTGTAGCTGCCGCAGGTGTGTGTGAGGCAGAGCTCGCAGGGAAGGCAAGAGGAGACAGTCTGCCGGGCTATATCTAATCTCGTCATCATCAAAGACCCCCACTTTACCTCCTCACTTTCTCCTTCCCCTTGGTTCCCTCCAGCTCTGACTGAGCCCAAACAAACCATCAGGGGGGATTATTATGAGGAAGAAAAGAGAAAAGGCTTAGCTAGCAGATTTTCTAAAGAGCCTGGATAGCTCTTTGTTTTGTTTAATCCAGGTAACTGACAGAATTTGATGATGACTGCCCTGCTTTGGTTCAAGTCCCTGTGTGTCCTGACTGTGGGCTATCCATACTGACGCCACGTTATGTTGTGTTTAGGAATGTGGCCCTGATGCAGAGAGGATGCTTCAGAGGAGAACGCTGAGCCACATGTTGACTCTATTATCATGTTTATGTCTGACTCTCTAATGGGCTGAGTTTTGTCTTCTCATGTCTATTCACAGTTAGGAAGCTTTAGCCAGCTCTATAAACAAACAAGGAGTAATCAAAGAAAGCTTTTAAGAATATTTACCAACTGGGTCCTCGACCCTTTTAATATGTGCTAAAGTTGTATTAATCTGTCACGAGTTTAACCGGCCAATTCACTTCGATACAAAGATGTGGAAAGCAGCGCTTGCATGCAGTCTCGGTGTTTCATCTACCGTCACACAGGTCAGATCAAGGATGGATTTGAAAAGTGACGGAGAGTCTGAATCATATATTAGAGATTTTCAAATACTGAGGAATATCAGCCAATGTATAGTCTGCGGTAAAGAGTACAAAGCTGAAATGACCACATTACCGCTATTGTATTTTACAACTGTGTCACATTTCTCCCCTTCAAGACAGATGGAAAGCATTCAGCAATCATCTCTGTTCAATCACAACTTGTAACGGTCCTACTGCTGGAGCTTAGTGAGACGGACTGAGTCAGTGGCAAAACTATTGAGGAAGGTTTACAGCCTGCCTAAACCGATTTCAAGCATGCATTCAAAGCCATCATATCTTAATAATCAATTTCATATGAAACAGATGTGAAGGGCGGGGCTGTAACGTTTCACTAAAACACAAATGGACAACACGGGACAAAAAATTTATTAATAAACAAAAGGCAAAGCTGGCAGCTGAAGAGAAGGTGACGTTAAGCATGTGAGATAAACAGAACTGTTTTTAAAAAAAGGACACCACATAATATAATAGATACATACAGTATCTACCATTAGATTCAAAATATTGTTGTGTAAGTATTTGTATTTACTGATATTCCTTAGAGAGCATACTTAATCACGTTTTGTGATTATTTCAGCATGTTTTTGAATTGTAAGACCATCTCTCTTTTGTTTACTTAAGTCCGGTCAAGTTGCCTTGGTTGGACTGACGCAAACCTGTGTCTGTTTTTCAGAAGTGCCAAAATATTATCACAGCGAACTGGAATTATGGTTTGCAAGTCCACGTGTTTGTTTCAGCCCAGGAGGAAATCTTATATTACACTTTATTAATGTTCAATATTCATATAAAATATAATGCAAACAGTACTGCACACAGTGGGTCATAGAAGAGTAAGAAACGTACTGTCCACATTGGCATCCCCTGGTGAAACAAGTAAATAAAAGAAAGCTCACCCCTGCTTAGGACAGCAGGATACACATGCTGAAATCCTGACAACAAAAGGAAATAAATCAGCAAAATCACTAGCTCTATAACTTAGATGTACTTAATGTGCATCTCCTGCCAACCTGGTATCAGTTGTCATGGTCATTATAATAAATACGTTTTTTCCCCTGCATACAGTAGCACTGAAAACACCTAAAAAGTACCAGAAATGCAATTTCAGAGTAAGTGACACTGCAACTTTCCTTCAGTGTATTATACATCACTGAATTGATATAATTCACTTCCAAAAAAAGAACCAAAAACAAAACCACTTGAGTTAAACTTTAGTTTCAAAAACACGAGCAAGAAAAAGACATAATCTATAAAGACAGAAAACACTTCAGT